GATCTGTTTTGGAAGAAGTGCAGCCAGAGTGCTCCTTAGAGGCCTAGATGGCCAAACTTCGTCTCTCATACTTTGGACAGATTGTCAGGAGGGAACAGTCGCTAGAGAAGGATATCATGCTTGGTAAGATGGAGGGTCAGAGTAAAAGAGGAAGACCCCCAACGAGATGGATTGGCCAGGTGGCAGCATCGAAGGACTCAAATGTGGCAACAATAGTGAGGTTGGCCCAGGATTGGACATTGTTTCATTCTGCTGTGCATAGGGTCGCTATGAGTTGGTTCTGACTTGATGGCACCTAACAACAGCAATAACAAAAGGAATAAAATAAAAAGGATATGCAGGTGCCTGGTGGCAGAGCAAAGAGAGGTAACTGTGTTGGAGTAAGCAGTGTTTCTAGAAGGAACTGGACAGAAGTGCAGATGTGGACTCTTGGGAAGCAATGGACCTGGTCACTTGAAATGGGACTTTCTCTCAAGAAGCTTTCAGCTAAAAGTGAGCAATCTCCATAGAAAGAGGCTGGAAATGTACTATTGGATGCAGGAGCATCTAACCACCGTTAGAGGCTAGCTGGAGAAGAGACATTGCTGGCATTAAGGTGTTTGACATTGGGTGTTCCCAGTACCATAGCCTCTAGAAAATCTGTAGAGGACCCACAAGAAAGAGTCATGTTTAACCTTCTATTCCACCAAGTTCAGAGTTCCAAGGCTAGAGTACTGTGGCTGTTATGTGCCATCGAGTCAGTTCCGACCCATAGCGACCCTGTATAGGGTTTCCGAGGGTGTAAATCTTTACGGGAGTAGAAAGCCTCATCTTTCTCCCGCGGAGCGGCTGGTAGTTTCTAACCGCTGACCTTAAGGTTCGCAGCCCGACTCGTAACCACTACGCTACCAGAGCTCCTTAAGGCTAGAGTACAGCAACTGTCAAATAAGAACCTGTTCCCCATCTCTCCTTATTTTAACCCTTTGGAGGACAGAAACAAAAAACTAAAAGCTCTAGGGTATAGGGGAACTCCAAGAGAAAAAAGATAAAAGTCCACCAGATAGCTGAACTTGGAGACAGGAGAAGTTTTCACCTGAAAAAATGTCAGAGTCTCAGTTGTTACACTGGACTGGATATTGTCACTTCTGGTTAGTGACTTTCCCTGAGATTAAACTCTTAAGAGTAACTAAAAAAGTTATGACACTTGCTCTAGTTTTATCTAAAGATCAAGGAAGACTGGGTCCTCATATAGGTTTTTAGGGGATAAAGATGGAGAAGAATCAAGTTGCTTTCTATTTGTACTCAGAGTATCACTCTTCCAATAAAGGAATGACATGCACAAGTTCTTTTATCAGGGCTCTTACATTCTTTTCAGTGGAAGATACAGAAGTTAAGTTATTATAAATAGTCCAACACCAGTAGGTGATACAAAAATGTACATGGAAACCATAAAAAGTGTTCAACTGGAAAACATGAAACAAAATAAAAAATCATAGAAAAGACCAGTCTTACTGGTTGGATAGAGATCTGTGGAACCACCAAAACTATGGTTCTTAGTCACCCTTCAGGTCTGGAACCGAACTCACCCATGCAGCTCAATTTTCAGCCAAGTAATTGGTCTATAAGGGGAACAGTAACAATTGGGGGGGTGGGGGAGCACACACACCTTAGAATAATCAACCATTTGAGATAAAAAGCTTAGCATTATCCAAAGACAATGTTCAGAAAGGTTAGGAAAGAAGGAGGAATGGAAGTAGACAACACAGTGAGGAAGTGGAATAAGGGATGTTACATTGTGGGGCTTGCAATTAATGACCAAAAAAACATATATATGAATTGTTCATTGCTTAGTGATTTGTTCTGTGAATCTTCACCCAATTCACAATGAAAAGTTAAAAAAAGAAAGAAACTGGTAGATTACATTCTAGATTAATTTGTCAAAATTCAGTTTCCCAAAACCTTTTATGCATCAAAAAACATTATCAAGAAAGAGAAAAGACAATTTACAGAATGGGAGACCCTATTCAGAAATTATATATATATATATATCCAGTTGTTTTATTGTTAGGTGCCATTGAATGGGTTCCAACTCATAGTGACCCTTTGTACAACAGAATAAAACACTGCTCAGTCTTGAGCCCATTGTTGCAGCGACTGTGTCAGTTCATCTAATTGGGGTCATTCTTTTTGATCTCCAGAGACTGATCCCTCCTGACAACATGTATTCAAAGTACGTAAGAGGAAGTCTTGTCATTCTTAGTCCACAGGCACATTCTGGTTGTAGTTCTTCCAACACAGATTTATTCATTCTTCTGGCAGTTTGTGGTATATTCAGTATTCTTAGCCAAGACAGTTACTCAAATGCAGCAATTCTTCATTGCCCAGCTTTTGCATACATACAATGCAATTTAAAATACTTTAAAGAAGTCTTTTTCCATCAGAGTTGTCCGACGCAATACATTGTTTGATTTCTTGATGGCTGCTTATATTGGTGTTGATTTTGGATCCAAGTAAAATGCAATCCTTGACAACTTAAATCTTTTCTCCATTTATCATGATGTTGTTATTGGACCAGTTGTAAGGAATTTTGTTTTCTTGATGTTAAGGTGTAATCAACCCATATTTTATCTTCATCAGTAAGTGCGTCATCATTTTTAGCAAGCAGTGTTGTGTCATCTACATATCTCAGGTTGTTAATGAGTCCTCCTCCAATCCTGATGCTGAATTCTACTTTATATAGTTTAGCTTCTTGAGTTATTTGAGCAGCATACAATTTGAATAAGTATGGTGAAAGGACAAAACCCTGATACACTCTTCCTGATTTTAAACCATGCCATATCCCTTGATTTATTTGACTATTGCCTCTTGGTCTATGTAGTTGCTCCACATGAGCACAATCAAGTGTTATGGAATTCCCATTCTTCATCATTCTAACGATAGTTTATTATGATCCACACAGTCAAATACCTTTGCACAGTCAATAAAACATAAGTAGACATCTTTCTGGTATTCTCTACTTTCGATCAAGATTCATTTGTTATCAGCAATGATGCATTTTGAAACCAGCTTTAATTTCTGGCAGTTCCCTGTTGATGTAGTGTTGCAACCATTTGATTGACCAAATAGTTGTCTTCCAAATTTATTGATATTGATTAGTGAATGTTTCCAGCATAGCATCCATCTGTTGAAAGATCTCAGTTGATAGTCCATCAATTTCTGGAAACTTTATTTTTTTGTCAGTTCTTTCAGTGTAGCTTGGATTTAATGCCATCAGTTCTTGATTGTATGCTGCTTCATGAAATGGTTCACTGTTGACCAGTTCTTTTTTTTGGTGCAGTGACTCTGTATATTCCTCTCATCTTCTTTTGATGCTTCCTGCATTGTTAAATATTTTGCCCATAGAATCCTTCAATTTTGAAACTCAGCACTTGAATTTTTTCTTCAGTTCTTTCAGCTTATGGAATACTGAGCTTGAAAAAATTGAAAGATCAAATTGGATAGCAAAAGAAACTCTGAAACTTGTTGTTGAATTTAGATTAACTAAAGCAAATAGAGATGAAGAGAAAATTTCAAACAAAGTAAAGCACTAGAATAAAATGTGCAAAGACCTGTAGTTAGAAAACCAAAAGAGAAGAATGCACTTTGCATGTCTCAAGCCGAAAGAAGTGAATAAAATTTTAAGCTAACACAGAGCTGTGTTTGCTATTGTTGTTGTTGTTGAGTACCATGGAGTTAGTTCTGACTCATAGTAACCCTATGTATAACAGAATGAGATACTACCCAGCCCAGCACCATATTTAGAATTCATTTATTGAATGAATTGATAAATAGGTCAATGGCTTGTCTTCCAAGCTTCCAGCACACATCTCCCCTTTCTACAAAAGATTCCAGATGCATGTCCTCCAGATATCTCAGATTCAATAGATCCCAAACTAAATCCATAATGTTCTAACTTTATATTTATTTTGATTAAGGATATTACACATTCTTACAATTACTCAGCCTTAAAATCTAGGACTAATACATACCTCCTTACCCTCCACTACTTGCTGTTGTTAGGTGTCATCAAGTCATTTCCAACTAATAACAATCCCATGCATGACAGAATGAAGCACTGCCTGGTCCTTCACCATCCTCACAATGATTGCTGTGTTTACAGCCACTGTGTCAATCCATATCACAAGGGTTTTAGTCTCTTTAGCTGACCCTATACTTTACTATGCTCAGCATTTCTTAAGCTGAAAGAACTGAAAAATTCAAGCTTCAACTTATAATATTGAAGGATTCTATGCACACAATATTACGTGATACAGAAAGCATCAAAATAAAATGGAAGGAATACACCAAGTCACTATACCAAAAAGAAATTGTCAGTGTTCAACCCTTTCAAGAGGTAGCATATGATAAAGGAAAAAAAAAAAAAGGTAAGGAAGGAAGATGTCCAAGTTGCACTGAAGGCATTGGCAAAAAGCAAGACTCCAGGAATAGATAGAATGCACATTGAAATCTTTGAACAAACTGACAGAGCATTGAAGGACAGCTACCTAGCCAATGATTGGAAGAGATCCATATTTGTGCCCTTTTAAGAGGTGGCCCAACAGAATGCGGAAATCATCTACCAGTATCATTAATATCACATGTAAGTAAAATTTTGCTGAAGATAATTCAAAAGTGGTTGCAACAGTACACCAATAGGGAACTACCAGAAGTTCAAACCAGATTTAGAAGACATGGAACAAGGGATATCATTGTTGACATGAGATGGAGCTTGGCTGAAAGAAGAGAATACAAGACAGATGTTGGCTTATGCTTTAATGGCTATGCAAAGGTCTTCAACTATAGTTGACAAACTATGGAAAACATTGTGAAGAATGGATATTCCAGAACACTTAATTGTGCTTATGAAGAACCTGTACATAGACCTAAGGCAGTTGTTCTAACAGAACAAAGAGATACTGAATGGTTTAAAATCAGGAAAGCTGTGTGTCACATTGCATCCTTTCATCATAATCCTGGTGTGGCAGTGTGGGATAAACTGCAAGGTCTATTTGAACTGCAAGGTCGGTGGTTCAAACTCACCAGTCCCTCCTGGGAAATGCTATCCAGAGTTACCATAAGTCATAACTGATTCAGTGGCATTCAACAACAAAAAAAAACAACAACATTCAATCTGTACATTGAGCAAATAATCTGAGAAGCTGGATGAGATGAAGAAGAAAGGGGCATCAGTATTGGAGAAAGACTCATTAACAACCTGAAATATGCAGATGTTACCACCTTGTTTTCTGAAAGGAAAAAGGACATAAAATACTAACCAATGAAGATCAAAGACTCCATCCTTCAGTGTGGATTGCACTTCAATGTAAAGAAAACAAAAATCCTCACCATTGGACCAATAAATAACATCATGATAAATGGAGAAAAGATTGAAATTGCCAAAGACTTCATTTTGCTTGAATCCACAATGATGGAAGTGGCAGCCAAAAAATCAAATGATGTATTGCAGTAGGCAAATCTGCTGCACGAGACCTTTTTAAAAGGTTAAAGAACAAGCATGTCAGTTTGAAGACTAAGCTACACCTGACCCAAGCCATGGTATTTTCAATTGGTTCATATGCATGTAAAAGTTGGACAATGAATAAGGAAGACAGTAGAAGAATCGATGCATTTGAGTTATGGTGTTGGAGAAAAATATTTTAAGTACCATGGACTTCCAGAAGAACAAACAAATCTGTGTTGGGAGAAGTACAGCCAGAAGGCTCCTTAGAAGCCAGGGTGGCAGCACTTTGTCTTATACTTCAGACCAGTTATCAGGAGTGGCCAGTCCCTGGAGAAGAACATCATGTTTGTTAAAGTGGAGGGTCTGTGAAAAATGGGAAGATCCCCAAGGTCATGGATTGACATATCAATGGGCTCAAACGTAACAATTGTGAGGATGGTGCTGGACCAGGCAGTGTTCCATTCTATTGTGCATGAGGTTGCTATGAGCCAGAATCGACTCTATAGCACCTAACAATAACCACCGCAACAATACTTTACCAACTATGCTATCCTTCTCCAGAGACGGGTCCCTTCTGATAACATGGTACAATGCTGTAGGACCAGTCACTCCTCAGAAACTCTATACAGGGCCTATAGGAGTCAAAACCAACTCAATAGCTGATAACAACAACACTCTCACTTCTGTTTCCATTGTATTTCTTCTAAGACAGATTTGTTTGCTCTTCTGGTAGCTCATAATGTATTCAATATTCTTCTCTAGCATCATAACTTCAACCACCACATGGGTTAAATTGTCCAATCTTAGTGCTTTTGCTTGTTCAATCTTCCTTTCAAACTATTCTCATGCTCTATTGCTGCTGCCTCTTCCACATCATTTCCTGCTCAGTGACCATCCCATTTGAAGCACACACCATTCCTCTACATCATCACCTAGGACTGTTTATACTTCCCTAAACACATTCTGCAAATCCCTATATGGTTTTCTCTAGCACCTGTCCTCTGATAAGCATATCTGTCTTTCATGACCTTGTTCCAATACTACCACTTCAATCTCAAGAAAGACTGAATCTCTCCTACCAGGGATCTCCCAGAAAACTGTGTTGTGTTTGTACCGCTGCTACATCACTTAACCATAGTCTGCTATTGTATCCCAGTTATTATGGGTGGTTTTAACTTATTCCCGCATATCAGGATCTTAGAAAACATTAAATGTTTTTTCATTGAAAGATAGAATTAATAAATTTCATTCCTCATTCATTTTAAGAGACTATATTCAGCATCAAGTTTGTTACAACTTAACATGATTGCTGAAATTGATTGGATTTTACATGGACTTTAGGATAATAACAGTGTTAATTGACTTAATATGCTTAGTTCCTGCTAACCATTATCTAAGCATTATTTCCAGTCTTTACAATAATAGGTAAAATAACAACAACAATAACATTATAAAAGAGAGTAAAAGGAAAACTGTCATCAAGTTTATAGGGTTTACAATGGTTGATTCAAAAAGAAGGCTTTAGTGTGTTATTAAGTTTATGTTTATTTTGTGTTTGGCAGCACACTTTAACATCAGAAACATCTCAAAAGGATCTCTTAGACAAACAGTGCTTAAAAGAAAAATACACGCATCTCTCCTGTAATAAAGTCTTCTGCCAACCGTGGCTGAAGTGCATCGACGGGACCTGTATTTGTAAACTCCCTTATCAGTGCCCAAAAAATGGTACAACGGTGTGTTCAACTACTGGAAGAAGCTACTCAACTTACTGTCAGCAAAAGAGCTTTGAATGCCTTCGTCCACAGGCAAAGTTTTTAAATAATGGCTTATGCGTAGCAGAAGGTAGGAAATGACTAATTTTCAAGACCAAGTTATGTTATAGCGTAAGAGAGTTTTTGTCTGTCACACTTTGTATTAGAAAATCCACTTCCTGTGAAATATGATGAAAATGACTCAGAGTTCTTCTCTTGACTCTTTGGAGTAATTTAGAGGCTAACTAGAGAAATCAGGAGTCTCCAGAATTGGATCTTGAGTCTAGAGCATGTTGCCCTGTTAGATACCAGGCCACCCCTTAGAGGCATCAGTGGCACCCTCTGCTGCTCAGACCTTCAGAACTACCTCCACTCTCATTTCTCATATTTGGTAAGTGGGATTGTTCCCAGGGTCATTGAGAGTCCATGCAAGACCCAATGAAAAGGTCTTTACATGAAATTGGTACTGATAGCCCCTCCTGGACCCTGTCCCCAGTGATTTCCGCCAGTTTCCATCATATCATCACCTGCTTTTCCTCCCACCACCCCCTAGGCCCAGTGGCCTTAAATATTCATGTGGAGTTTTGATTATTGTGACCTGGACCTGCTCCAATCTAGCAAACGTGGCCTCTCAGGCCAGAGAGCATGTTTATAGTCCATCCAGATGCTAATTTATGAGGAAACTGGGACCCTCAGATGTGGATTAGTACAGCAGTTAAAATCAGGGTCTCACTGTCAGATGGATTTAATTTCAAACTCCTTTTAGGGTCAATGATAAGCTGTATGACTTCTCTGAACCTAGTTTCCTCATCTTTAAAGTGAGACCAATAGAAATCCCTAACCCATAATGCTCTTGTGACGATTAAATAAAATTATGCTTGTTCCTGGCACACCTACATGCTCATTCAATTTTAGTCACAACAGTAAAATTCAGGCTAATGTCCTCTGATATGAAGTTCTCACAGATTTTTAGTGAATTTACCAATAAATGTTTATCAGGTTCTTTCTGAAGCACCGTGACATACACCAGCTCACAGTAACTTACACGTCTTTGTGGTACTGAGCTAAGATGCTGAGGTTCTGTGGAAAAGGAAGAAGAAAGTTCCTTGTTGGAGCTCTCTCTTGTGTCAGTGTCTGCCTTTTTGCTCGGTAAAATGCCTTGTATATAAGCATGCATAAATGTTTCTTAAATGCCATTACTATTTCTTTGGCTTACTTTTAAGAGCAGGAAATTTGGAGTAAGAATCATGTACCAAAGCCAATTGCTCTAGAGTCATGATGACCCCATGTGTGAAATAGAACTGGTCTCCATAAGGTTTTCAATGACTGATTTTTTAGAAGCAGAGAAGGACTTTTGAGTAGACATGAACCTCTGTGTTAACTATTTGCACCACCCTTGGAGGTATTAGGTAAGTAAGGCAAATTTGAATAAAAATAGCCGCCATAAAATTGGTCCTCAGCTCATAGTGCTTCCAAAAACAACTGAATAAAATACAATGCTTCCCAGTCCTGCTCCTTCCCCGTTATCAATTGTGGATCACAACACTGTGATCTGTAGGATTTCCATTGGCTGATTTTTAGAAATAGATTATCAAATCTTTCTTCTTAATCTGTCTCAGTATGGAAGCTTGGCTGAAACACCTGTTCAGCATCATGCCAACCTCCACTGACAGACAGGTAGGTAGGGGCTGTGCATGAGATGGAATGGAATCTGGGACATCTACATGGAAGGTGAAAGCTGTTCTCCTAATTGCTCCCCACCAATGCCACTACAATATAAATATAACCACCCCACCCCCACCAACAAAAACATAAACGGTTGTAGTTGAGTCATTTCCAATTCCAATAAGGAGCCCTGGCGGTGCTGTGTGTTTGACTCCTAATTACAAGGTCAGAGATTCAACCCCACCAGCTGCTCTATGGGAGATGATGAGACTGTCTGCTCCAATAAAGATTTATAGCCGTGGAAAGCCTATATAGTATCTCAATGAGCCAGAATCGACTTGATGGCAGTGGGATTGGAATTTTGACTGAGGAGTAATGGTTAAAGCACTCGATTACTAGCTGGAACCTCTGTGGTTTGAACTCCCCAGCCATTCCACAGGAGAAAATGTGGAAGTCTGCTCCTGTAAAAGACTATAGTCTTGGAAACCCTGTGCAGCAACTTGACTCTGTCCTATAGGACCACAATGAATCAGAATTGACTCAGCATCAGTGGGTTTGGTATTTTGGTTTGCTACAGGGTTTCCAAGGAGTTCTGGCAGCATAGTGCTTACAAATTGGGCTGCTAACCTCAGTGTCAGCAGTTCAAAACTACCAGCTGTTCCATGGGAAAAAGATGAGGCTTTCTGCTCCCGTAAAGATTTACAGCCTCAGAAACTATATACAGAGTCATTATGAGTTGGAACCAACTCAGTGGCATGCAACCACCAACAACCAGATAAGTAAGACAATGGTATACCATGTAACTGCTAATACAGACACTGCCACATAGTTAGTACTCATAAAAATAGCATTTATTATTTCATTGTTGTTAACGTCATCGAGTCAGTTCCATCTCATAGGGATCCTGTGTAGGATTTCCGAAGAGCGGCTGGTGAGCTTGAACCTCCTACCTGGCAGTTCAAACCGACCTTACAGTCCAGCACATTAACCTACAGCACCACCCCCAGGATGCCTTATTTGTTAAAAATCTTCATGGTGCTCACAGTCAATTTGACATTACATATTTTATTTTTAAAGGTTTTTACTCAAAAGGGAAAAGTGAATGTCTAAATAGTTTTGTCTTTATTTTGATATTTATTGTAGGACAATTCAGTGTTTCCTTGAAGTATGGAAACACAAGCTCAGAGGGACTTGTTGAAGTAAAACTTGTGGACCAAGATAAGAAGATGTTCATCTGTCAAAACAGTTGGAGCATAACACAGGCCAATGTGGCTTGCCAGGACCTTGGATTTCAACAGTGAGTGATTTTCTCAGGGTTGATTTTATTGTCCTTTACTATTTGCTTTTTGGATTGCTAGCGGCACTGTAGGATAATCACTGGACTGCTAACCACAAGGATAACAGTTCAAATCCACCAGCCACTCCATGGGAAAAAGATGAGTCTTTTTGCTCCCATTAAGATTTGCAGCCTTATAGCACAACCCACAAAGACAGTGTTCTACACCCTACTTGTGTGAGTAGCGCCTGGGATCTTAAAAGTTCATGAGTATCCAGCTAAGGTTTAACTATTGGTATCTCTCTATGTGGAGGAAAGAAGAGTAATGGCAATTGAAGACTCCTGGAATCAGTTAGTCCAATGGACGAATGGAACTGTGACCATCAGTCTCCATGACACTGAGATCAGAGCTAGATGGTACCCAGCTACCACTACCAACTGTTCTGCAGTTTTTGGATAGTGTTAGAGAAAATGTGGAACAAAACACAACATTTTTTATATAGGCCAGGCTTCCTGGTCATAATGAGACAGGAGGAACCTGAGACCATGGCCCTCAGACACCTTTCATGTCTGGAACTACACTTATCCTTATGGCTCAGTTTTCAGCCAAGTGGTAGATAGGCATACAGGGGGGACAACAACATTAGTAAGATATGCTCACCATGGAATGGTCAGTCGTTCAAAATCCAAAGGGCAACATTTACCTAAGGATACAGTTCAGAAGGGTTGGGCAGGACGGTAGAGTGGAAACCAGAATCACAGGGAGGATGTGGAATAACTGATGTTACATGGAGGGGACTGCAATTATTGAAATGAAGTGGAGTGTATAATTTGTTGCACGTAAAACTGGTGATCTGCTCTTGCAATTTTCAACAAGATTTTGTGTTTGACTCATGAATAATTTGGAAGCCTTTTTAACTTTCCAAACAAATATGCTAGCTGTCTTTGGTTATCTCCCCCAGGCTTTGGTTATCTTTTTGTTAATGATTTCTTATTGAATTGTAAATATTACTAACTATATTGTGGTTAGAATATGTGTCTATATAATGATAGTTTGGGATATATATGTGTGTGTGTTGAGATGTGGTTTGTGAGTAAGTATATTTTAATGTTCATGGATGCTTGAAATTAAATATATTCTTAATATTAGAGTGCAGGGTTCTATAAAACTGATACATTATTCATTAAACTACCTTGTTAACTTTTTTATTCAAATCTTTTTCTATTTCATTACCTTCAGTCTTTTCTGTCTTTACATTTTAGGTATGTCCCTTAAAAACAGCACATACTGACATTTGTTTGTTTGTTTCATCTAATTTGGCAATCAGTATTAACTAAAGGGAGTCCTGGTGTGGTGCTGTAGAATAAACACTTGACTGCTACAAATAAGCTGCATAAATAAGCACTTGACTGCTGGTGTTTCAAACCCACCAGCTGCTTCTTGGAAACCCTCTATGGAGTTGCTATGAGTCAGAACCGACTTGACGGCACTTAACAACAACAACAACATTAACTAAAGAGTTTGGTATATCTACATTATGGGGATTGTTGTTGTTGTTGTTGTTATGTGCCATCGAGTCGGCTCCGACCCATAGCGACCCTGTACAGGGTTTCCGAGGGTGTAAATCTTTACGGGAGTAGAAAGCCTCATCTTTCTCCCGCGGAGTGGCTGGTAGTTTCGAACCGCTGACCTTAAGGTTCGCAGCCCGATTCGTAACCACTACGCTACCAGAGCCCCCCACATTATGGGGATTACTTGCATTTAATTGTTGGATTTATTTTTTTCTATCATATTTTGGCTGTTTTGTTTCTTCTTTGTTGTTTTTCCTTTTGCTTCTTCCTTTTCTAACTTCTATTTGATTAATTAAGTTTATCTCTTTAAATCCTCATCCTTTTCCTTCTGTACTTGGCTTAGAAATTATGCATTGCTGTGGTGCTGTAAGACCAGCACTGGACTGAGAACTACAAGGTCAGCAGTTCAAACCCACCAGCTGCTCCTCAGAAACCCTACACAGGGTCGCTATGAGTCAGAATTGACTCAACAGCACATAACAACATTTTGATTAATTTAGTGGTAATCTTTAAATTTATACCATGATAACTCACCTTCCTAATAAGCAAATACAAAGAACATAATTACTCTATCTGTGTGGCGCTGTAGGATAAGCACTTAACCTCAAGGTTTGTTTGTACTGCAATGTCGGCAGTTCAAACTCACCAGCTGCTCCTCGGAAACCTGATACAGGGTCTCCATAAGTCAGAACTGAATTAACAGCAACCTTGAAAATTTGTTTCTAGTATTTGTTTTCACCTTATTTTTATATCCCCAAAGTTAATCACTACTCTTCAATAAGCAAATATTATTACTGTTGATTCACAGTGCTTACTCAGATTTACCTCTTATTTATCAACTTCATGGTTAGCATTCCTTTTCACGTTCCACTCTTTCATTCTGAATTCTATTTTCTTTTTCTTAAATGGCATCCACAGGTAGTTCATTAGTGAGAGTCTCTGATTATTAGATTGGATCATAGGTTTTTACTGATATCTGACCAGTTTGACCTACAATCTAAGGTTCAACATTTAATAAAGTCAGTCTTTTCTCTCAATGTTTTGCTTATATTTTAAATAAACTCATGGACTCATTATATGATTTTAGCAAGTGGAGATTTTTCTTCCTTCCTTGAAAACTTATCAAGGGTGTTGTTCCATTTTATCTAATATATTGAGACATGTTTAGGTTAAGTGGCTCTCATATTTTGATGTTTATAACAAAGTTTCATGAGTACTCTGTTTTCCTGATGAGTCTTAATTAAAACGACCCTCTTTAATTTCTTTAAGGAGCTCTGGTAGCGTAGTGGTTACAAATCAGGCTGCCAACCTCAAGGTCAGCAGTTCAAACCTACCAGCTGTGCCATGGGAGAAAGATGAGGCTTTCTACTCCCATAAAGATTTACAGCTTCGGAAACCCTGTACAGGGTCGCTAAGTTGGAACCAACTCCACAGCACATAACCAACCAACCTTATTTTCTTCAGTGTTTCTTTATATATGTATATATATTGTCACTACTATTTTATTTTTAGTTACACCTGTCAGGTGCATCTTTGTCCAACAGTTTACCTTTAGCCTACTTACTCCTAAATGCAAGCAAGGGACAACTGAATGATCTGGAAGAATTTTGTTGTAGTTGTTGTTGTTATTGTTAGGTGCCATCAAGTCAGTACCGACTATTAGCAACCCTTTGCACAGCAGAATGAAACAGTGCCCAATCCTGGGCCAACCTCACTACCGGACTCAAGTCCATCGATGCTGCCACTTGGCCAATCCATCTTGCTGGGGGTCTCCCTGGTGCCGTCAAATTGGTTATGACTCAGAGACCCTATAAACAGCAATGCAAAACACTTCCTGGTCCTGCACCATCCTCACAAATGTTGTTATATATAAGCTCATTGTTGCTACCACTGTGTCAGTTAATCTCATCGGGGATCTTCCTCTTGTCCTTCTTTAGGAACTTGTCCCTACTGATAACATGCTCAAAGGACGAGAGACAAAGTCTCACCACCCTCCCTTCTAAGGAACATTCTGGCTGTATTTCTCCCAACATAGTCTGTTTATCCATGGTTCTTTCAATATTCTTCTCCAACACCATAATTCAAATTTATCAATTCTCCTATGGGCTTCCTTATTCATTGTCCATCTTTCCCATGCTTGTGAGAGGATTGAAAATACCATGGGTTAGGTCAGGTGCACCTTTAGTCCTCAAACTGACATCTTTGCTCTTGAA